AGACCTGGACCGCATCAAACCGCCTTTCAAACAGCCACCCAAATCAGTTTGGCACACCTTTGGACATCATATACTGACTCTTTGGCTTTCTTCACCCCCTCAAAAACCAATGGGAAAATGATTTCTTGGGCAATTCTGTGGATCAAGATCATGGACCACTGCAACCCTAATGGATTAAGCAAAGAATTGTAATTCTATATACAAATGTTTGACCAATTGTGGCTAATTGACCGATTACCTGCATGCAGTTGACTCTTCTCTTTCTCCAACAATACATGCCAAGAAACATGTTTGCTCATGTTGGCTCATTGTTGGCTTGTCCATTCGGCAGTTTGCCCAAAAAGTGAAATTCATTGGTGGATAGGACTTTGGCCAAATAGTATCGACTAGGTGGATCTGCACAGAAATCATTAATAAAATTATGTGTGAACCCATATAGTACTCAGCCAATGATGTGTTGATTTCCAACAAAAACAACCCTCTATCACAACCTGCCCCAAATTGGTCTTCTGAGAAGAGGGTAAGAAAGCAACTTCCCCACAGGCCTCTGTTTCCATAGGCCTTCCACCTTCCTTCCCTCTCCGATAAGTCTTTGGGATTATCCTCATGAAGAGATTTTAATCGGATCTCACTCCTGATTGACCGCGCCAACGAGTTCGCCCATTTTATGCCACTTTCCACTTCTGACCTTCTACGGGGGATGATGAATCTTTAAAACACAACTCATCTCCAGTCCCACCTGGCATGAACAGACTTAATCTTAACCACAGTGCAGTCCCACATGATCCCTCGCATGTGGCACATCGCAAAAAATCGTCGAGGTGTCTCTTTCACCGAGGAGCGTTCAGCTTGGGGCCTTTGCCCAACTTGGCCTTCAAGACGAAGTCCAAGCCCGCCAGCAATAAACTGGTCACGCAGAAGCACACCTGGTCACGACTCGGAAAAAGGGACGATTGGAGGAGGACAAGTTCGGGGACAGCAAAAGACAAGAGGAATCGATTGGGAAGTTCGAATCCTGAATCATGGTACGGGGGTATCTTGAAGTATCCAGTATCAGTATCCAGTCTCCAAATCCCTATATTTGGATCTGCACCAACAGGTCGTTTTGTCTGTCCACCTTTCCTCGCAGTAGTTTTGCGCCCCCTCACGCATTGGGTGTCCTGTCAATGGCAGGCCTGACATTGGGTGTCCTGTCAATGGCAGGCCTCACCCAACCATCGTCAAACAGGAGGGAATTTGGTTTGTGAGGATCCGATGGTTCAATATCTTCGTGGACTCCTCAGCGGCGGCCAAGGTCTGCTGGGCAGCTCCCAAACACGGCTTTGCTTGGCGTTGATGAGACGGCCTACACTTGGCAATAGCGATGCCCAAAAGCAAACTGACAAATAGAAGATATATGAAGATATATGATAGAAGGAGTACAACAGGAAATGTGGGGGGCCAGGATGATCTGATCACGTGCCTTTTTCTCCAACTTGCTTGGCAGAAGTCAATCAAAGGCCTGCATTAGCTTTCACCAACTCCAAGATCCAAAATCCAGCTTGGAACGGCTCCTTGATGGCTCAGCCGAGAGCAGAACGGGGTCTTCAACAAAAAGGGTCTGACAAATGAAAAGAGTTCTGTTTTTTGGAGACCCAGTGCATCCCAGTTACCACATATATAAGGAACCAGGGATTCGTTCGGTCTATGGTGTTAGTCTTTGGAACCACGGGTTACCAGTTATAGTGGTAAATGGATGCCCTGGGAGAGTGATTCACCCCCTAAAAAACAATGAGCGCCTGACCTGCTTCGACTCCATCCACCTGGGGCGATGGCCCCACCCAAAGTGGGCTTTGAGATGACACTCCTGAGGTGCCGCACGCCACACCAAAAGCTTCTCGAGGCCTGGGTGGATGGATCCATCCATGGATGGCTGGATTCGAGAAAAAACGATAAAACACGGGCCTCCCTCCCCCAACGAGCTTTTTGGGGGGAATTGTTGGAATCAGCAAGGTTGGTATACCTCTGATTGGAGGTCTTGAGACATGGTGCATGTGGATTGTCTTGATCTCGTCGCAAAGAAAGCTGGCATTCTCAGTCTTTTTCTGGATACATGTCGAATTTTAAGCATCAATTCCCATTTCTTCCATCAAATGTTCGATCCAGTTCCATCCATCCATCCATCCATCCATCCATCCATCCATCCATCCATCC